CTAAGTCCCTAAGCCTTTCCTTAAGTAACTTAGAAAGACCTAATTCTTAACATTAGATCTTTACCTTGAAAAAAAATCTTCACAGATCTTACCTTTCCTCTCTGCCCAGGAAAAGATGTGGTAAACCAGAATTCAGTGCTTATCTCTTCTCCCACTTTGCACTCTATCAATTAAGGCCAAAGAGTCAAGTTCTAAAATGTTCTGCCTTTCCCTTTCTTCTCCCTCTCTCTCACAAGGGCTTGGGCTTATTTGTCCAGTCACTGGGCTTAAGCTGTACACATTTAGAAAATCACCAGGTTGAGTGAGACATCACTGAATAAGTATGACGGATTCTCCTGGAACATGATTTTGCCAAAGTCAGGGGAAAAAATTTATATCTATGTTAACAAGACTCTAATGCAGAGTTGACTCTAAAATCCATATAAGTTTTTTTTTTTAAATAATAAATTTTATTTTTATATTCCCCCATACAACTGCACATGCCCCACCCATTCTGACCCAATCCCTCCCCTCCCGGCCCCCACCCCCCAAAAAGTGTCTCTGGTTCATAGTTTTTTGTTGATTTTGATTTTCACTTTCTTATAGTTATTCATTTTCCTGATCCCTTATTTAAGTTTTCTAGATTCCTGCTATGAGTGAGACCATCCGGTATTTTTCTTTTTCTTTTTGGCTTATTTCGCTGAGCATGATCCCTTCCAGCGCCATCCATGTTGCTGCAAATTGCATGTGTTTATCTTTTTTGAATGCTGAGTAATATTCCATGGTATATATGTACCATAAAATCCATATAAGTTTTAAGATGGGCCTCCCCGGTGGTGCAGCGGTTGAGCGCTGGGTTGCAAAGCTGCCCGCAGCCTCTGCAGTGCCGGTTCGATCCCGGGCTGCTCCCCGGCCACCAGAGGAGGGTCCCACATAGTGCACAGACCTCTCCTGCCGCCCGCTGCTCCCCTAAGCAGTGTACTTCGGTCCTTCTGCCTGCTCTGCTCCCTGCTCTGGCTCTGGTGAATTCTCTCACCCTCCTCCGTTTCTGACTGTACCCAGTGCTTGTATAAACAAACAAACAAATAAATAAATAAATAAATCTTAAAAAAAAGTTTTAAGATGAAAACTGGACATTTGAAATAAGATTATTCTTAGCTAGGGTGGGTATTATTGCTAGAGATATTTTGATAGAAAAGACTAAGAAGCTCTGCATTATGCTAAATAAATATACCTTATAAATATGGATTAGCATTTTTGTGTGAATACTCTAGCAGAAGTGAAAGGAGATTTGATAATGGGAATGGCTGTCGACAGAGTGTGGAATGGGTAACTTCACTCTCCACCACCATGACCATAGCATCACCACCACCACCAACTCTCAGGCCCTGTCCATTCCTTGCACCACACTCTTGAATAATCTGGCTTCTTTTTTCAACCTTAGTGTGTGGCTAAGTTTACCTTGTCTTTTCTTCATTAGTAGGTGCTCTTTTACTTTCCAATCTCTTAAGACATTATTAGTATGGGTGTAATGAGATACTAATTTAATACTAAGGACAAAAAAAAATCACATCCAGGTGGTGGTCAGTACATGAAATTATGCCATCACTTTGGACATACATGTCATTAGTTAAAATTCTGCTGAGAAATTACATTGTGCTGGAAAATGTGCAAGGTGATAAGCATATAAAAATGAGTAATTTTTTTTTTTTTAAAGTCCACCATTCTTGCTATGTAATTGGAACATTCAAAGAATAGGATTCTCTCCCACAGACCCAGAAGTAACAATGCCTCTCCTATGTCTTAATTTTAGCCCAGTCAGATTCATTTTGTATGTCTGGTATCCACACTGTGATAACAAATCTGCGTTGTTTTAAACCACCAGGCTTGAGGTAATTTCTTACAGAACCAAGAGGAAAAATACAAATTCCTAAGTCAGTCTCAGCATGAAGAAAAACCATGGCTAAAAACCACATTGAACATTTATATTCTTTAGTTAAAGTGTGGATGTGGTTTACACATCTGGTCAGGTAGTCTCACCCTACATGCAATACAGCATTAACAGTAGAAGATTTGAGGTCACACAGACATGGATCAAATTACAATTCTGCCCCTATTGTTAATGTGACTTCAGGCAAAATAGCTGTGCCTCAGTCAGTATCCTCAACTGTTTAAAAAAGGAATAATGATATCTTAGGTCAGGATCTCTTGAATCATACTTTGAGGAAGTAAGGATTGTGCACAAGTGATTAAAGAAATTTTCCAGGAAAAACATTTAAGTTACCAGAGTAAGCAAGATAGTGAAGATGATACTGGAATTGTAGGTTTTCAGGCCTAGTCTCCCAACCAAAAATGGATCCCAGGCTGCAGTGGCAGTGCTGAGTCCCAGCCATGTTAGACCCCCACGGGTTGGTGTCTCACGAAGCCGCAGCAGGAACTTTGCAGACACTCAGGCAAGCAAGCGAAAAGAGGCAGATTTGTTTAGAGAAAGAAAAAGTTTATTGAGAAGGAAAGGAACAGAAATAAAGTGGGGCTCCCAAGCCATGGAACCAGGCCAGGGAGGGGCAAGGAAGCCGAAGTGAAGTCCTGTCTCAGGGAATATCCACCCTTTTCCCCTATTATTCTAAAGCCCCCTCCAGTCTCTTTGTGATTGATTAGTTCCTGGTGGTCTCACTCACTGCCTAAATGCCTCTGTGCCCATAACTAAGTCTCTGTGCCCCAGCCCTTATCTTTTTTTTCTTCATTGTCCTCTATTTGGGATGTTCTGTTGACCTTAGTCCTGGGGTGTTTGATTAGTCCCCTTTGGAATTCCTTGCCCTTATCCCTGGAGCCTTCCTTAACTCTCCTGAAGTCCCTGCACTGTACTTGAGGCTGCCTAATTATCCCTAACTTGCCCTAGGATGCAAAGAGATTTTAGGCAAAGTCTTGGCATCAGCATGATCCTGCAAGGGAGCTTCAGATTTTCCTGCTTCTACACGTAACAGGGCTGGGGTTTTATACTATACAGAGCAGTTCTTAGCAAAGGGTATCCCTGGGAAGAAAAGAAACTCCTAGTTGATTCTTTCTGGTGCTCTATGTCTGTAGGCAAAGTAAATCTGGTAACCCAAGAGTCTCAGGGCTGGCTTTGAGAAGTAAAAAAGGACCAAAGTTGGGAGGCTTCTCTCTGAGGTACCCAGGCCTCAGAGAAGCTTAGGGGATGGGATTGAGTTTGACAAAGTCTAACTTAGGCATCTATCTCATAGAACTCTTCACTCGTGATTATCTTTCTTTAGCTTTTAAGACTTGTAAACTATTTTTCTTTTGTAATAGCATACAATATCTGATGCCATATTCTGAAAACAGAGTGCTCAGCAGTGCAATAATTCTTTCCTGACATAGGTATCAAACCCAGAAGAAGCAAAAGAGACAAAAGAGAAAAAAAGAAAATATGAAGGAGACCAGAATAGAAAGTAACAAAATTAGTCTGAATCTTACATTTCAAAACAGTCTCAATTTCAGTCTTATTTTCTATAGAGCTGGAAACTTGAACAACTTGAGACTCACAGTATTTGTTTTCCTGTTTGAAGAGTTAGATAAAGTCAACCAACTAACCAGCCAGCCCAAATTAATATATTTGAGTACCACAAATCTGAGGAAATGTTGATTTTTTAACCTAAGAAACAGGCCAACAAGACACCAGAATACATGCAATTTTTTTTTTTTCTTAAAGAAAATATCTTTTGCTACTCCCAAATCACACCACAACTGGAGTACGGAAAATGTAATATAAAGGACTATTAACCAGTAAAATGGAATTGACTACTAAAAAACAAGAGATGCATAAAGAATACAGGAACAGGCATTACAGGGAGCAAGTGAGAGTACCCAAAAAGGGAATATAACTTAGAAAATCTCCCCCACACCCATCCCTGCTCTTCATCCTACCAGCCTGAGAGTCAGACCTCACTGGAAATAAAGTGGCTGAGTCCCCTTTATGGCACACATTCCTGAGGGAGGTGTCACAGACAGGACTGCGGAGGAAACCACCAGCTGGGTTCCAGCAACACTGGTTAGGAAGCAGCATTGGGGTGCTAGGAAGGCATATTGAGAAGCTACGTACTGAAAAACCGTCCAAACTTAATAGCGAGTTTGCAACACTGGCCCCTTGCACATCACTGACCAGGAAACCACCTGCTGACCACCACACTACAGAAGCAACAAGAAAGGTACCGTAACTAGGAAGAGAAGCCCCTTTTTTATTTGCTGGATGTCCAACACTTTGTGCTGAAAAGTCCCAACACTGTGCCAACTGACAACAAAGAAAAGTATATAGGTTCCAGAGCTCAGATCACAATTCAGGGCAAAGAGTGAATTGGGAGTTTAAGAAGCACCTGAAATAGCTGGCATACGCCTCAATAACATTCCTGGATTCTGGAGTACAAAATGCTTTTCGGCCAAATTCCTGTTCTGGTTTTTGTCTGATTTATTTTTTCCTTTCCTCATTTTTCCTGTAATAAGAAGACCCAACCTTTGAATACATGCATGTACTGACTGCTGATAAGACACATGTTCCCAGTGGAGTGCTTCCATTTTTGTGCCAGGCAAGCGCTCTACTGGCACTAGCTGATTTCATCCTCATGACAGTGCTAGTGGACTAGTACTTACTGCCCCATTTAACAAACGAGGAAACTGAGGCTCAGAAAGGGCAATCACATTTACTGGAGATCACATTCTTGGTTGAGCAGAGCCTGAGTTCAAGCTCGGCTTCTATTTGGTGGCCTAAGCATTTTTTTCTCGGGACAGCTTGCCTGGCCCACTACCCTAACCCCAGACATGAAGAATTCTAACTGTTGAGGGCTCTTCTTGCTTAGCTTTAAAGAGATGGCCTCAAACTTAGCACTTGAAAGTCAAGCACATGAAATTCATTCATCAGTCACAGGAATTAAAAAAAAAAAAAATCACTCCTAACATCTCACAAGAAACTAGCTTTGAATGCAAATCAGCAGCCCCCCCGCCCTGCAGCCCGGCGCCCCGGTGCTCACCTTTCCTTCTGGCTGCAAAGTTGGTGACAGGAAGAGTCCGGGTGGCAGCGAGCGGCGTTCCAGCCCCATCACGCGCTGTGTTCGCCCTCAGGTCCTTCTTTTGCTCTCCGGAGCAGGGAATGTCGGGTCAAGTCATCTTAAAGTTCTCTGGGTACAAGCCCCTGAGGCTCGGGGGTGCCCCTTTCTTCGTCGCAGTTCTTGGGTTAAATTCTGTATTTCCCTGAGGAGGCCGCTCTACGCCACCTTCCGCGCGCCCCTCACCCCTTTCCAGGAACCTCTTTCTTCCTTTGCTCTCACAGTAAAAGTTGAGCCGGTTCGCCACTCAAATCGCCCTCCTCGTAGTCGGGGTGTGCGCCCCGCGCCCCCGCTGGGCCTGCACCGGGGAATGTGCCGCCGCCACCTCTCCCGGCCGTCAGGGCGCGCTGCCTCCAGCTCTCCAACTTTCCGCTCCTCTGAGAGGGGGTTCTGCGAACTCTGCGACGAGTTTCACAGTAAACAGGAGGGGAGTCCCCCTTTCTAAACTCCAACGCCTCCACCCTGGCTCCCAGCGCCCCGGCTTTCTCAGGACATTCGGTGCCGGGGTACCCCACCCCGCCCCCCGGTCCAGCTGCTTCTCAAGGCAGAACCCCGCCTGGAGGCTCCCAGACCCTGGCGGTAGCACCAGGCGCGCGGGTGCGCCCCCAGTCCAGGTCCCGGCATTCCGGCTCCCAAGCCCACGTCTGAGGGGAGTGGGGGAGTCCTCTGGGTGCCGCAGCCCAGCGCATCTCCCGACCGCTTGGAGGCTGAGGAAAGCTCTGCGCTGGGCCAGCAGCCCTTCCTGCCGGCCTCGCCACGCCAGGCCCGGGCTCCCCTCCTTCCCCGCTCCCGCCTCCTCTCGTAGGCTGCCAGGCGGACCCAGCCTGCCTCTCTCTCAGCCTTCACTACCGGGTCAAGCTGCGGAGGGAGGGCGCGGAGACAGCGGCGAAGCGGCTCCCCACCCGGCGCGCCGGCCCCTCCCCTCCCTCAGCCCGCGCCCTCCCCTCCTGCCAGTACTGTACAACTAGTACACACACTCACACGCACTCACACTCACACGCGGACGCCGACGCTGCCACTGCAGCTGCCATGGCTATCAGCTAACCACACACACCCAGGCGCGCGCGCGCGCTCCCACTCGCACCACGCAGGAGTGGCCCCCGGCATCCCTACCTCCTCCCACCCCCGCGCCGCGCGCCGCTCGGCTACCGCTCGGGCCGCCGCCGCCACGGCGCTCCTCCTGCGGGGCCGCGCAGCCCGAGTGTCATTCAAGGGACGGCACCACCTCGCCCCGGCTCTCCTACCTCTGCCCGGCCGTCCCTTGCGCCCCCACCCCCTCCTCGTCCACACTCCATCCAAAGAAGAGAGAAAGCACCGAGAGAGGGGGCAGGAAGGCAAAGTCTGCTCTCCTCACCCCGTGGTCCCCAGGCTCCTCCATCCTCATTCTCTCACCAACAACCTCCCTCCCCCAAAGGAGCCCCTCAGGAGCCGAGGAGACTCGCCCCACTGCCATGTCCAAAAGCTTGAAAAAGAAAAGCCACTGGACTAGCAAAGTCCACGAGAGTGTCATTGGCAGGAACCCGGAGGGCCAGCTGGGCTTTGAACTGAAGGGGGGCGCCGAGAATGGACAGTTCCCCTACCTGGGGGAGGTGAAGCCCGGCAAGGTGGTCTATGAGAGCGGCAGCAAGTTGGCGTCGGAGGAGCTGCTGCTGGAAGTGAACGAGACCCCGGTGGCGGGGCTCACCATCAGGGACGTGCTGGCGGTGATCAAGCACTGCAAGGACCCCCTCCGGCTCAAGTGTGTCAAGCAAGGTGAGCGCGGCGGGTTGCTCCGCGCGGTGCCAGGCGCCGGGAGCGCTCCGAGCGCGGGGCTGCGGAGGGAGGGTGGGCTCGCCCGTGGAAGGGGGTGTGTTGCGCGGCGGTGGGGTGAGGCTGGGACGCGACCGGCTGCGCGAGGGAGCTTCGCCGGGGGTCCGGCCGGGGGGTAAAGGGAAGGGGCTGGCGGGCTGCGTGGGGGGCGTGCAACTTTGTTTGCGCAGTTATTCCCTCGGCGCGGAAGGTGCTCGGCCTTGTCTGACCTCAGGTGCGGGCGAGCTCCCGGGGTAAATTGAATGTGCGTCAGCGGCTTTGCCCGCATTGGATGGAGAGCTTTTTGGGGAGGACGGAAGGAAAGAAGGAGGGCGCAGAAAAAAAAGGAGCAAGTTGAGGGTGCAGCGGCATCATCGGCAGAGAAAGGGGGCGCACAGGGCGGCGGGGCCAGCCGAGAACTGCGTCCCGCGTTTGGGGACCTGGGTGGCCGACGCCGCGCTTCGCAACTGTCCCTGAGCCGCAGGGAGACGGAGAAGGGAGGGGGCAGCCTGCTTTGGGTGCTTTGACCCGTTTTCCTTAACTTTTTCCCTGCTTCACTCCTCAGTCCCCCTTCCCCCGCCCCCGGTCCTGTCATGTGGGCACCGCGCGTCACGTGCGCACTGACTAACCCCGGGCGCTCACCCCGGGCCGGCCTGCGGGAGGGGGCGAGCGAGGGAGGCTCGCGCCGGGAGCCGTTTCTAGTCGGGAGCAGAGACGTGGTTTACCCAGAAAAGTACTTTACTCAGAGTAGTCTGCGTGGAGTGGAAGTTCTCTGTGGTTGGACTCGTTTCTGCCTTTGGATTTGGGGGTGGGGACGCGTTTCCGAGAGGAGCTGGCTGGAGAGCTGGCCCGTTACAGCGCGGGCGCCCTCAGCTCCAGCCTGGCTTCGGTCTCAATTGAATCTCAGTTGAAGACTGTGATGGGGACTTGGGGAGAGTGGGATCCTGCAGACCTCGCTAGCTCTGTAGTGGAAGGAAAATTGTGGTCCTGGAGGAAGAGTAAGATAAAAGTTTCTTGGAAAGAGGACAAGTGTAGGTAGAATAAAGTGGTGTATCTTTGTTTCCCACACATGATTGCACGCGTGTTGTAGCTCACACACATCCATGCGCGGTATGTGTGTACATGTGCATATTCACATTCTAAAGGTTTGCTTTTGGTGCGGTTAGGTTCTTTGTCCTGCCTCAGAGGTGGAATTGAGGATGTCCTTGCTCACTTTTTTGAACAACCAGTTATTCTTATTGCGTGATCAACTATCAAGCACTCTTAGGGAGATGTTCTCCATGAAACCAGTTTTAAGAGTAAACACGTGAACATTTTCAAGTGAAATTTCTAAAATATAAAATGTCTTACAAGAAAAAAATGTTCTTGGAGATTCTTGAGTATTAACAGCTGATGACTATATAAACATTGACTTGTAGGTCAACATGACTCAATACTGCATGAAAGTGAAGAATTTGAGCTAGGTTGGAAGGCAGGTAGAGCGTCTTATGTTTTTCATGGTGACATGTTGAAGCTTTGTGCTAGCATATTTGAAGTCTTGATGCTATTTTATAACAATAGATATAAATGGAAAGTACTGGTTTTGACTCTCCACTACACAATTGTGACTAGTTTTCTTGGCAGTGAGCTTGGTATTTGCAGTGGAAAGTGGCTGCACAAGTTAACTCATTGTTAAATTGGACTAATGGTAACATCCCAATGAGGGAGATGGCCGTTCTATTACTGTTCCAATATGATATACCATTCTAATATGGTTTGCTATTGGAACACTACATTGTGAGGTGAGCCCCCCCCCCTTTTGGAATTTAGGAAGAAGCCAAAAACGACCATAAGCCCAGGATTCCTATGTAAGTGATAACCTGAAGTGATAACTAGAAGTGATAACTAGAAGTCTCTTAGTCCTGCCATGAGTCTCTGATCATTCACCTTCTATATTTTATTTGGAAGATTATTGCTTTCAGAGCTCAAGTATTGATATATTTCGGGAAAAATATTTAACACTTTAGTTCTAGGTTTCATGTGATCATTGGTTGATGTTTGTAGAGATGGTCAAAGAGAACCTCAGGAAACTGATTCACCTCCTGGATCACTTGATCAAAAAAAAAATAATTGTTTCCTTTAGCTTTTGTGGAAAATATAATTTTTGGTGTATTTTAAATATTGTCACTTATATATGCTATCCCTTGTTGAAGTGAATCTTTCTCTTGTCAAATAATAAATAAGTATATTTTCTTTATCACTGTATACTAAGCAAAATTTTCAGAACCTTGGCCATAGTGCCAGTGTTCTTGGGCTCCACTATAGATTTTACTTGCTGGAAACATTCACAAACTCATAGTTTTGTAGTGTTATTTGTAGAAATTAGTAATATAGCTGGAAAACTTAAAAACAGTTTGTTTAGCAATTATAGTTTTAATGTATAATGAGAAAATTCATCTTTGAATATTATTTAGACATTAGATATTGTATAGAGATTATGTACATAAGCAGCTTGTAGGGTAAGGAAAAATATCAGGCTTTTCTGCCCTCCCGCCATCAGGATAGATGAGGGAACCCTGTGATCTTGAATGCATGCCTGATGGCGGGCACCTGAAGTAGGCACACCTGCGCTGACTGTGCTTTTAAGGGCAGCGTCACGGGGATGCCAAAAAAGAAGCAGCAGAAGCCAAAAGAGAAGCCGAGAGAGAAACAGAGAAGAATCAGCAGAAGCAGAGAACGCCAGAGAGCCCAGATAGAGTGAGGATTTGCTGGGAGCTGGGAGGACTGCCAGCCTCCTGGCCCCTCAGCACCCCTGCCTGCCATATGCCTGGTGAACCCCAATAAAAGACCTGCAAAAAGCCACTGAGGACTCTGACTCCTCCTTTACTCGGTCTGCATGGGATCAGGAAACCTGCACCTTGTCTATTCCTGCCCCTACACAGCTGTTGTGCAACCATCCCAGGGCAAGTAGGTTCAACATTGGTTCTAACAGTTCCAAAGAGAATTTTGGGGCTCTTGGCATTATCTTCACAGGTTTTAATAGTAAGTAGGGGAAACAAGCCAGCAGGGAGACAGCAATTTGAGGCCCCGTGAATCTTTACTCTTTCTCTGGGCTCTCTCTGGCATTGGCTTGTGGTCTTGCCTCTTCTATAGTCACTCGTCCTTGAAGAGCCGCCTTCCGTCTGAGTGACACAGCCCTTACAGCCCTACTCTCAGTGCACAGGTGTGCACACTTACCAGGCCCACTCATATGCTCCAGGTGTCCACAATCAGGCACGTGTGCCCCACGCCCAAGCTCCCAAGCGCCTTCTGTATTAACAAGATCAAGGCTGCAGATGATAACCACAGAAGCTAGTGCTATAAAAAGCCTAATTAATTCAGTTACAGCAGGTAAACTAAGGCAGATTTTGCAAAAAAAAAAAGATGCATTGAATTAACAAGAATGTTGATCAAAGTGCATGAGATAAAATTGCATCATTTTCTCAATTTTTATTTACTTACTTTGCTAGTTTTACCGTAATGTCATTATAATGTAAAATTATTATTATAATTTTTAAAAAAGATTAAAATACTAGGATTTTTAAACAAGCCAAAATAGATGTAGTTTTTCTATATTATTTCTTAAAATTATTTCTAATAGTTCAACTATCTACTTTTAATTGATATAATGACGAGTCATCTGTGAATATCATGATCACAGCCAATTATATTTTATAAAATATGGATTTTAGGTTATTATAAACTTTTCCCACCAAAGTATTCTAAATTAGCAGTTCTGTTTGATGACCCCATTAATGCATCAGTTGAAGGAAGATGAATTGAGGTCTATGTTGAAGTGCTAAAGGCTTCTATTTCTATTTTTTTTTATTTGCAACTAAAGTTTACAGCAGCCTGTTACATAGACCATTGTGCCCTACATTCCTTGCATTATGACTGCTACTGCATGTAATACCACATGGGGACCTCCATAGTCTAGACTTACTTTGCCACTTAGGATCTCACAATGGGAAAGTAAAAAGGCAAAATGTTTTCTAACTCTAAACATGCAGAAGAAGGGCCAAATAAGGTTTTTGTAATTCTGTTCTAGAGAAGTTGTACATTGTTCTCCCTTCTGTTGCACCTCTCAAAGATGCCTTCAAAAGAAAGTACATCTGCATTTATTAAGAGTCATGCTTTCATCTTGATTGACTGCAGACTTTTATGATAGATTTAGACCTCTGTGCTTCTTTTTATTTGGCAAGGTAAAAACAAATTATGTCAAAGATTGAATTTACACCGTCAAAATTTCAGGTATGTGAATTTTCTCGATCAGTTAGCAAATTTATTTAAACAATTTAATTAATTAATTATTAAAAATAAGTATATTGTTTTGGAATAGGGTGAATGCCAATTATCTTTGGGTTTAACTTATCTTTGGGTTTTTCAGTGCCTATAGAAAATTTAAATGGTCTGACCTTGGGTGTTATATATGAATGTTTGCTTTTTAATGTTTGTTTTGAGTGAGTGTAATCTTGGGGTGAAATCACAGCTAAAGTATTTAAATACCACCATCTTTGCTCTTAGCATTTACACTGTGCAATCTTTTGGCACATTTATTATGCTCACTTTCCTTTTTAGTTGCTTTGAACTCACACATTCACTCTCATAATGAGCAAAAAATTTACACATTTGACATCCCTGACTACTTGTAGTTTTAAACAATGACTTTTAAATGCATAGCAATCCCTTGCTGAATCATTTCCCTCAGGAGGAGGAATAGTGTATAACGGTACAGTCTCCCAAGTGTGACTGCCTGGGTTTGAATCCTGAACATACCACTTAATGTTGGTTATATAAGCAATTTATCTAATCTGGGGTAGTAATAGTACCTTAAAAATATTAAATAAGTCATGTATTTAAATGATGTAGTTTCTGGCAGATAATAAGTACCATGTAATTGTTATTATAAACATAGGGGTCATTTTGAACTAATGACATTTTGAGCTTATGGTT